TTTTATCTACAGAGGGAGCAAGTCGCCTCCCAAGGAGTTCATCATGTTTGGACAACAAAAACTCTAGCTCTACATAGGGGCGTTTGTTTCGTGGCCATCTCCTCTTATCCCATATTCCCTCTTTACTTCCTGTTATTCACATAAAATGTCTGTTTGAAATATGTGCTCACACAAATGTATTGGTTATGAATATATTAACAACGAGGATCAGTAAGTGTCAGGGTCAGATAGGCACAGGGTGAAATTTAAGTCGAGATCTACTTTTAGATAATTCTGTCTGTTACCGTGCACGCACACACACGTACACACACGTACACACGTATACACACGCACACACACACCACCTCCCTGTCCTGTTCTGACTGTGAAGTATCGAGTAACACTAGAGCAGATCAGACTGCAGCAGAGTCCTCAGAATTTTTACAGATCATCAGGGAGGGACGCAGCCATGAAGCCCTGACGCACAGTGGAACATTGTGGAAGGATGGAGGGGTTCATGGGAAAAAACAACAGGGAGATGGGAAGGAAGAAGTCAGAAGAAAGCTCATCGAATGAATGAGAATTTCTGATGTTTTACAAGCAGATTATTATTGAAGATCATATTTTACTAGTAGCATAAATCTGGGTAAGGAAAGTGAAAAGCAGCACACCTCCCTCATTACCACCACCAGGAGGCTCTTGAGCAAGGCCCTTAACCCCAACTTTTCCAGTTGAGCTTCTCAGTGGCCAGCAGACCCCATAAATATATCTTCTTTGAATTTCCCTTATAGCGGAAGCCCATTTCCACCAAGGTGATAAAAAAAATCACAACAAAGGATTCTGTAACTCATTATAGTGAGAAACTTAAAAAAAACATTCACGTAGTATCTCAAAATAAAAAGAAAACTTTTCAATATGTTGACTTAGTATCACAAAAGAGTCAAAATATTCAAAATATCTATATATTGATATATTTTTAGTATGTATAAGTACAACCAGTGATGTGTTATTAGGCCTCGCAGACTTGCTACCACCTAAAATTTGTTCTAAAAGCTGTGATATGGTCACTTAAACCACAAGTAAATATAGAAGTACTTCCTCAATATAAATAACAGAATCTCTCATAAGTCAAAATGAAATGATTAGTGTTTAGTTAAAGAATGGCTGGTTAAGTCACAACAAAACCAAGACCGCAAATCAAACTTATATTTTTCGGAAAATGACTAGAGACTGCAGCTCCTTTTCCCACATACATGAATTCATTTTAGAGCAGCAGTAGTAATTTAGTAGTAAGAGACAGATAATCTGTGAAAAAGGAATGAGACTCAATAATCAACTAACTTAAAGCGTCTTTAGAGCTTTCTCAGCTCTGATTGGTTGTTTTCGTTCGGGCCCGGTGGATTCTTGTAAA